AAAAAAAATAAACATTTTAGCGTGACAGCGTGACACAGAATCGCGCTATAGTATAGGGGAGATAGACAAGCCACAAAATTTTAAGGTGCACTTTTTTAGCATATTTTTTAGGGTTAGGATTAGTGTTTAGGAGTAGGTTTTTATAATAAACAAGTATAAGTAGGTTTTATGTGTATAAATAGAAACTACTCATTTTATTTTAATCTGATTTCATTATAATTCACGATATTAATTATGCATTATTATTGTTATATTATGAAATTATGCTTAATAATTAACTCACAAGTAACTCACGAGTAATGTAGGTTAAAGTTTCATGATTTGAAGAATGATAAATTCGAATGATTTGAGTTACGAGCTGACAAGTCCAGTCACTAATCACAAGCATATATTAAAAAATTTTTTTATATAAATTTCTCGATTTATTTAAAATACGGACTTTAATGCTTATGCTATCTATGCCTATTACATGGCAATAGATAACTGTTATTAAAAAACGATTTTGTAGAGAATTTTTAAATAATAAATATTGAACTTCTTGATGATAAAAAAGACTATGATAGCAATATAATCATATAAGTTGATGTGCCATATAAACCGATACATTAAATCTACAAATACTTTTGATATAGTCACTTTTGATATCGTCACAAATTATAAAAAATTACGTTTTGACCTGACACATGATGATAGTCATGCTAAGGTTATTATCACAAAGATTACCCCTGGACCAACTCCAAAACAAATATGAAACTAGAAATAGCTATTAAAAGGAAAATTGTTAAACTTAGGATTGGCAGTGCCTTTTTTCTTCGCTGCCTAAATTTGTTCTGGCTCTTTCGTGCTGTGGCACCTTCTTTCATAAAGAAAACAAGAAATATTAAGAATATATACACTAATACATATAACAACATATAACGATATATATAACAAAATATATAAACATATATCAAAATAACTAAAAAAAAAAAAAAAGAGAAAAAAGAAAGTAAAGAGATACTTACTAAAATAGTATAAGACTATCCCAAACCTAAAAAACCCTTACTAACAAGATATTAAGACTATTCCAAACCTAAAACTAAAAATCTTTAACCAGTAGTAACCAAAAAAAAAAAAAATATATATATATATAAAATATATAGAAATCACATGTTCATTATGGCAGATTCAAACCTATCAAAGAACGATTTGGAAGACATTTGTCAAAACTTTGGTCTTCCAACTGAAGGAGTAAAGGCGGACCTAGTACAAAGATTAAAAATACACTCAGCAAGGTTGTTGGCAAACCTGGTTCTATTAAATTTGACAAATAACATATTAGTTGAAAGAGATTATGCTGATAACGACGAAGATACTCATATAACTGGAGGAGAAAATTATGTAAATGATCTAGAAATTGGCAAAGAAGGTACCCCGATCCAAACATTAAGGGAATATGCCTTAAGAACCAGATATAATGATGTAGCAGAACTCTCAGCGGCTCAGCAAAGCACCATGGAACCAAATCCTATACAAGAAACAAATGACCGAAAGACTAAGTACTCAAAAAAAAAGAACAAATAGCAATCACCCAAAGATGTTGACTACGATTACCCGAACTCTCTAGAAGGTCTAATGGTATCAGAACTCAGAAACTTAAGGAGCATTATGGCTGGATTTGATAATAAACTAAATTCAGTAACAGCTCAAGTACAAAAGACTAACAATAATGAAACATGGCCAGATTATAAATTTGAAAGATCACGAGATCAGTTTGAGTATGATATACTATATTCTATTGGGAAAGAATTGGACTTAGTGATGGAATCTAAAGCAGTAACAGAAATTACAAACCACATTATAAGTGCACGAGAATTAACCACTAACAGGATGTTTACATTATGCGTAGCAGAAGAACTTGAATGGGATGTCGCTGCTGCATTACCAAATACACAGGATAAATTGCTAAAAGGCAAAGAATCAGTAATAGAAAAAGCAAAGGCCATTGCAGATACAAAGAAAAATAAGCAAAGAAAAACAACGGACCCAATAGAAGGCGTTGATAACCTATATGACAAATTTATCTACCAAAACCATTACCCAAATATCTTTCAACTAGATACCAAAATAACCACCAAAACCTTACCTACGACCAAGAACAGTTTTTTCGTGCATGTTACCAACTCCACTATGAAGTTTCATACCAGTCAAATAAATGCATATCCCTCGAGCCCCTACAAAAATACCAATCAACAACAAGAAAGAAACTTCGGTTACCGTTCTCGAGATTACGCAACCTACCAAAATAAATATCCTGGATCCTATGATGATAACAAATATGACTAACTACACTCGGGCTCAACAAGAAATACCAGTGGTGGGGTGGCTACATTTTTTAACACATGTAAATTACTGAGAACAAAAAATTCAAGCACCGAAATTAGTCCTAAGCTGGTTAAAAAATGGCATCCCGTTGTATCCAAAAGGGTTATTAAATTTGACATTACAACCAGACCTGTCCCCTTATATACTAACAAAAAACCAAACAATTTGGTTAGACTCAGAAATAAAGAGATTACTAATGATAGGAGTGATAACCTACATCTCAAATTCACCAAACAGATCACCGCAATTGCTTGAAGTAAGCCCGATTTTTCTGACCCCGAAGCCTAGCCCAAAGAAATGCCGTCTGATTATTGACCTCAGACGCCTAAACAGAATACTTCCAGAAAAAGTATTCAGATTCGAAAGGTTCGAAGCATTCTTAAGAATGACAAAAAGAGATTGGTAGATGGTGGTGTTGGACCTAAAAGAGTGCTATCACCACATAATGATGGACAGAAAAGCTCAGAGATTATTAGGGTTCAAAGTGGGAGAAATTGGTATTATTACCGAGTTCTACTATTCGGCCTAAGCTTGGCAGTATGGACTTTTGTGAAAATAATAAGACCACTAATGGTCACTGGAGAGCATTAGGGATTTTTTGTAGAAACCACCTCAACGATATATGGGTCTCCAACCCATGTCGAGAAACATTGATCCAG